TACCAGAGTCAGATTCATTGGCATTAGTGCTTAAGTACATGAGATAGTCACGGTCAGCAAGGGGATTTTTCCAATCTGCAGCAGTGGGAAAGTCTCGTCCTCCTTCAATAGGCGGTGGAGCTTCATGAAGATCAGCAATGAGAGTCTCTTCATCTTCAGAGGTGAGAGGTGCAACATCTTTTTCAGGCTGATCATCATCGGAGGAGAGATCTAGAGGAGCATGCTCACTATTTCCTAGGTAGAAATCTCCTTGTTCCTCTCTTAGCTTTTGAGCAGCCTCTTTCTGCTGCTTGGTTTGCAGACGTGTGACTGGCCTTCAAGGTGCCATGATTAAACTATTTATGAGATTTTAGAAGAGAAATGTGTTTGTGTGAGATTTGTGTTCACAACTCACACCCTTTTATAGCTGATGTTTTGCATGGAGAATTGCGAGCGTTGAATACCATTCAATATCTTTTACGTTATTCTTCGAACCATTCATTGCGGCTTTGACCATTAGCGCGTAATTTAATGATGACCAAGAAGAAAGTGTAACAGACACAAGATTTCATAGGGGCTTGTGCACCGGTTATGATTTGATTCTCAACAAGATAAAATAAATCAAATAAAGATTTCTCTCTGTTTGTAAGGAAATGAAACATAATAAGCCACATTTTATTCCAAGACGAAGAGAGACACACAGTACATCTAAAAATGTTTCGAGAAGACTCTACTTCTTCTCTTTTCCTTTCTTCGCCTTACTAGGTTCCCCCACATCTTGTCTGGTTTTCTTCTTGAGTGCTGAGTAGTCAAGATGAGACGAGCCAACAGAGGATTCTATTTCAGCAAGAGGGTCTACATCTGGATATCCGACGAGTTCGGTTTTGCAGTCATATGTCCTGAGGAAGCTGCGAAGATCTTTATCCATGTCTGGATCATTCCAAGATTTTTCAGATAAGAAGCCCATCCTGACGATAAGAGGAAGTTCCTCTTTCAGTTTTGTCTTTGAAGGTTCTTCGTCAAATTCATATGTGATGAATCCGTCGTAGTGCCCGAGATCTGAATCTGAGGATATATCCAATGGAGCTCGCATGCTTTTTCCAGGATATAGATCACCTTGTTCTTCTCGATCAAGACAGGTCCTTTCTGTGATTCTACTTGTTGTATCTCTAGTGATGGGTTTACGAGGTGCCATCTTAGACAGATTTTGAGTGAATGATAATGAACCATTGCTAATATCATCCTTTTATAGCCAGAACTTGGTGTGTCCATTCAATGCGTAGGCATCGTTTACAATGAGGTCCTGATAACTTGGATGAACACCATGTATGACGTGTCATTTATTTATTGGACAACAATCTCAGAAAAATTAATTCCCGTGAACTTTGTAACTTATTAGCATCATCACATTTATGACTATGAAATTCCGTGTAACTCTCAAGTTCATGGTTGAACGATTTATGAGATGCTAACTCAGTAGATAAAATGATCTTTGACCAATAAGGCAACGTTTTAGTAATTTGAGGACTTTGTCAAGAAGACCATTATTACTGATACCTGGTAACATATACCTTCATTAAAGGAACCAGAACACAAATAACCATGCCATACATATGAGATAGATATGAATAATGCTTTAAAGAAAATGATAAGGCATGTGAAGTTCCAGGCGAGTTGTCTCATCAGTTTTTTCGGGAATGCTGCCCATTTTCGCATATTCGTCCAGTTCCTCAAGTGATAGGGTGGGCTCAGGCAATCCGCTTGGTGACTGAGTGTGAGCAAGAGAGAAATCTTCATAGGCTGTTTCATTCTTTTTAGGAACATCAGAGATAGGGTACCATCGAAAGGTGGGTGTAGATCCTTTAGATGAGTTTCCATGTGCACTTTTTAAGATCATTATCCTTTCGTTTGCCAATTTTCGGGCTTGTTCCAGATGGTATGCTCTCTTTGCTTGAGACTCCATGACAGTTTTGTCTAAGATTTCCTTTTCTTCTTTGCTGGCTGTGTTTGGCAGAGAGTATGTGACATTTAATCTATCACCATCTTCTTCCAGTTTTATGACTGTAGTGTTTGTGAGTTTGCTAGCTTCCATTAGATGATGTTCTCATCAAATGGCTCGTTTCTCTGCTTCATCCATTCGTCCTTTACCTTTGTCTTGATTCATTCCTGCAAACAACACTTCTAAAATTCTAAAATATGTTAGTGGGTAAGGATGAGCATATCTCGTTGAAGAAAAAGTCCTTTTATAGGTGCCAAAAGTGAGTGTTGCGTGAAGATGTTTGCAAAATATTTTGAATTCAAGTACTAAATCTTCCTTTTTGGAATCTTTTAGAGATTTTGTAGCATGACTTTTCACAAAGATACAAAAGATTTTCATTCATAAGGCGTGCATGATTTAACATTCAAGAACATGAATTGTGCTAACACTGAAGGAAGGATATTAAGATTAATTAGTTCTCTTTCTTCTTGCTGCTAGCGGTCGATCTAAGAGGTGAGGAAAATTTTGGTGGAGTGTTTGATGGTGAGTAGTCATAGCTATCACTTCTTTCTAGTATACTGTCCACGTCAGCGTATCCCACAGGATTGCCAATTGATCGAAATGATTCATGAGATTCATGTTCCGTGGGGTCACGAAGAAGATTCTGCAAGTACTGTGAACTTGCTATCATTCTATCCAGACTATCCTTGTTTTCTTCCTTATCAAGAGGATCATGAAAAATTTCGGTTTCAATAGGATGACTTTTAGCATCCTTCGAGTTTGTTGATTTTTGCTTCTCACATTCATCATTCGTCTTCTTTTCTCCTTTTCCTGTACTCATACCTGCTGACAGAAGATTTCCAAACAAAATACACTTGAATAAAGAGTTAGTGTGATCTTATTGGATTATAAAATCCATCCTTTTATAGCACAAAAGGATGTCATCTTGTGTGTTGAAATAGTTTGACAGGTTCCTTTTTGCTTTCCCAAGATCTTCTTTATAGAATCGTTTTAGGAATCTTTTGAGCGTGAACCTCTTAACACGCAAGCATGTTACGTCATTTCAATCATCCCGATTTCATGGCGAAGAGTGGCAAATCTACTCTCACAAAGTGGTTTAGTAAGAATATCTGCCAATTGATCATCAGTATTGACATATTCAAGGGATATGTTCTTTCTTTCAACATGATCACGAATAAAATGATACTTGATATCAATATGTTTCGTTCGAGAATGTAAAACAGGATTGTGTGTAATGGCTATTTCACTTTTATTGTCACACTTTATTTGCACTTCTCAAGCTATTACGCCATAATCCTTTAATTGGTGAGTCATCCATAGGATTTGTGCCCAACAACTACCAGCCGCTATGTATTCGGCTTCAGATGTGCTAGTTGTGATGGAATTTTGTTTTTTGCTAAACCAAGATACAAGTCTTTCCCCTAGGAACTAGCAGGTTCCTGAGGTGTTTTTTCGATCAATTCTACATCGAGCAAAATCAGCATCTGAATAGCCAACGAGATCAAAAGAGTTTCCTTTCGGGTACCAAAGTCCTACACTTTGGGTCCCCTTCAGGTATCTTAAAATCTTTTTAGCAGCACTTAGGTGACCCTCTTTATGTTTGGATTGAAACCTTGCACATACCCCAACAGCAAAAGAAATGTCAGGTCTGCTTGCTATTAGGTATAGAAGAGATCCAATGATTCCACGAAAATTCTTTTGATCAACATCTTTACCTTCGTTATCAATATCCATTCTTAATGATGTACTCATGGGAATTTTGACTGAGGACTTTCCATCAATTCCGAATTTACGAATCAGGTCATTTGTATACTTAGCTTGATTGATAAATATCCCTTCTGGACATTGTTTGACTTGCAAACCAAGAAAGTAGTTCAATTCTCCCATCATGCTCATTTCAAATTTTCCTTGCATGAGACTTGAGAATTTTTCACACAGATCTGGATTTGTACTTCCAAAAATGATATCATCAACGTAGATTTGGACTAATAAAATGTGATCATCATCTTTAATCCGAAAGAGTGTTTTATCAACAGCTCCTTTCGTGAAACCACAATTTATGAGAAAGTACGAAAGAGTGTCATACCAAGTTCGTGGAGCTTGTTTTAGTCCATATAGAGCTTTCTTGAGACGATATACTTTTTCTTGTCCACAATCGATAGCGAAACCAGGTGGTTGTTCTACATATACTTCTTCTTCTAGAAGATCGTTTAAGAACGCACTTTTGACATCCATCTGGTAGACTTTGAAGTCTTTGTATGCTGCATAGACTAGAAACATTCTTATTGCTTCAAGCCTAGCAACTGGGGCGAAGGTTTCATCAAAATCGATACCTTCTTCTTGGCAATAACCATTAGCAACAAGTCTAGCTTTGTTCCTAACAATGAGACCATCTTCACTCATTTTGTTTTTGAATACCCATTTAGTTCCACTGACATTTTGATGTGTAGGTCTCGGAACAAGTTCCCATACATTTTTCGTTTAAATTGATGAAGTTCTTCTTGCATAGCTATGACCCAATCTGAAATCTGAGGGTTGATGGTTGGATTTCAACTATTTATATTTGAGAAGGAAAATGCTACAAAAGTCCTAAAATTAAAAAGTATACAAAAGTTCATAACTTTTTGAATAACACGTGACTTTTAAAGACTCTTTAAAAGTCTTAATCTAATACCACACGACTTTTAAAGACTCTTTAAAAATCTTGATTGAATACCGCAAGACTTTTAAAGACTCTCTAACAGTTTCAATTGATACTTCCAAACTTTTAAAGTTCATAAAAGTCTTCAAAACTCTATGAAAGTCATGATTGAATACACCCCCCACCCCCCTTAGATATCTGGTCAAAGGGTGCATTCAATCCCTTCATAAATAAATTTAAAAAAACTTACAAAATAAAATAATCTTCAAATAATAAACCTACTAAATTTACAATAAATATTTAAAAAATAAAAATAAAAAACTATCTTCAAATAATAAACCTACTAAATTTACAAAAAAAAAAAAAATTATTATATTATTACACACCTAGTGGGACTTGAACCGACGATCGCTTGATTAGAAGTCAAACACCTTATCCATTAGGACATAGGTGCAAATTCAAGAAATATGACAAAGTTAACATATTTTTTTTTTTTAATATCATATTTCATCTCAAACTTAGGGGCTGTATTCAATCATGACTTTTGAAAACTTTTAAAATGATATATTTTAATAAACTTTTATTGACTTTCATAGAATCGTTCAAAACATTTTAAAACTTTGTAAGACTCTATAAAAGTCTATATAAAAAATATTCATATACTTTAATTTTATAAACTTTTGTTTTTATTTTAAAAAGTTTAGAAAAGTTATTGAAATTCTAAATAGAATACATCCTTACAAACCTTCAATAATTTCGATTCTTATCATTTAAAATTTTCTTACAAAACATGTTATAATATATCATAAAATAATTATTATTACATTGATCCTTTAAAAAAATAGAATAAAAGCACCTATGAAGCTCTTAGTGATGAGAGATTCTTATTCCGCCTAACTTAAAGGGGGTGTATTCAATCATTATTTTTGTAGAGTTTTAAAAAACTTTTAAAATGATAGATTTTAATAAACTTCGATTGACTTTCATAGAGTCATTTAAAACTTTTTAAAACTTTATAATACTCTATATATGTTTATATAAAAAAACATTCATAGACTTTTATTAACTTTTTATTTTAAAAAGTCTACAAAAGTCATTGAAATTTTAAATTGAATACATCCTTACAAACTTTCAATAATTTTGATTATTATCATTTATAATTTTCTTACAAAATATTTATAATATATCATAAAATTCTTCTTTTTATATAGTTCGTCACCCACTTCAGCATTCTCAACATTATTATTTTTATCCATAGTATGTTGAGACTTGTATGCTAATTACTAATATATATTATTAAATATTAATAAACATCTACAAAAAAAACTATTTCATTAGAAATTCATAACAATATTGAGCAATAAAATGTATAATAATAGAATTGATTAAATAAAATATTTAAAAATATAATTTCAAGTTGCATAAAATAAAAAAATAAAAATCAAATATTAATAATTTATATATATATAAAATTATACTTGATATATTGCTAGGGATCACGCAAAGAACTATTATTTGCAATAGCAATTTGAGACTGCGAACAACAACAAGACTGTTTGCAACCCCAAAGTGTTGTTAAAAACAGTAATTCACTATTCGTACGTAGTAACCTATTGTTAAAAAAGGGAAAAATATATATTATGAATATAAAAATAAAAAGAATAAAAATCAAAATATATAAGTATTTATATGAATATTGTTCATCCCGAAAGGGTGGCGAGAAGTCTAGAGGGGGGGTGAATAGACTTCTCTAACTTTTTCAACTTTCTTTGAAAACACACAAGGCAAATAACACTTTGGTAAAGTCAACTCTAAGTAACAAGAATTAACAAGATAAACAACTTAGAGTGTGCAGCGGAATAGGTAGCGGTAAAGTGTTATGCTTAATTAGTGCGGTGCGCAAAGAGAGATTCTAAACATGCAACACGTTAGAAACACTTGATATGGTTGAAAGATGATGTACGAAAAGTTTGGCTTGCATGCAAATGTGGGAACTATCAAACCCAGACAGATAAAGATATGCGATAAATCGTAATCGGGTTAGTTCGCAGTTAGAATAAGCATGCACAAAATATATGAGCAGTATGTAAATAGAGAGAGAGATTTATAGTGGTTCAGAGGTGGTGTAATCCTCCTAGTCCACTCTTCTCCTTTCACTTCAAGGAGGAAATTCACTATTCTTCGATCACCCAGATACAATAGTGAATTAAGTGTCCAACGACACTTCTTCGAGTGCTTCGCACAAAGCTACACTCCTCCAAGGTTTTTTGCAAGCTCCTCTTGTTACTCCGCCTTCCCGAGTACTTCGCACCAAGCTGTACTCCTACACCACGAGAACTACGCACAAAGCTACGTCCTCACAAGGTTTTCACAAGCTCCTCTTGTTACTCTGCCCTTAACAACGAGTGTTACGCACAAAGCTACACTCAACCAGGGTTTTTCACTCTCTCTAGTTACCCCACCCTCTTTCTACACTCAGTAGAGAAATCTACAAAGAGATAAAATTTTTCTCTCACTCAGACTTGAATGTAATTCTATGAAGCTCTATTTCCCCCTTTTTCGGCTAATTGAAAAAATAGATTGTATCTTTTGCTTGTATGTCTTAGCCGTTGTTCAAGTCGTTGAACTGCTCAAATTAGGGTTGTTATTGCTGCTTGTCTTCAAGTCTGCTTGGGCAATTTATAGCCAATGAAAGCTATTTGCCCGTTGATCAACTTTCGATCTCGATCGTCCATTTTGAATTGTAGTTGATCAAAAGATATTGTCAACTTGATTTGAAATATTAGGTAGATGTCATTTCTCCTTTTGTCAGATGATTTGAATAATTTGCCCGTTGCCGTGTCTTGAATTTTGTAGCCTCCAAAATTTGAATAAGTTCGGCGCGGCAAGCTTGATATTTCTTGTCCTTCATAAATGTTCTGACATGTCAAGTTGATCAAATAATTTATCTGCTGATTCTTGCTTGAGTATAAAATAATCTTCGAGCGTCTCCGGTTCCACCGTAAAAACTTGATGTTCAGATGAAAATATATCAGATATTTTCTCCTTCATGATCCTTGTAAGACTTGTGCATTTGCCTTACTTAGTCTCCATATTGGCTAGTCTCTCTTGGGTAGCTAGTCTCCCATACGGTCCAATACACTTGGGCTAGTCTCCCATACGGTATGTAGTCTCCCTTACGGTATTAGCTAGTCTCCCAAGCAAGTTAAAAATGCTTCACTTGAGATTCAAACTTAAGATCACTTGGCATAACTCACACACGTTTCCTCCAACTCCTCTAGCATAGTTCTTAGTGATTTATCCGCATCATAATTGTGTTAAGCTATAATCCCGCTTAACTTCTTCAAATAAATTATGATCTTCCAGACTTGTACATGGGTTGCATGATATGGGTGCACCATACTCTGTAGACTTAAACTGACTCAAATAGAATAAAAATGGGGACTACTTGATTTTTCAAAAATACATTCGGCTCATCAAAATTTACAAAATATTCCTAACAATTTCCCCCTTTTTGATGATGCCGAAACTTATACCCGAGTCATTTTGGCTTTGTCAACTTTGAAAAATAATTTCTTTTTAATTGCTTTTATTTCGACTAGCCAATTGACGGGTTTAACAAAAATTGTGACTTAGAGATTTTAAAATTCGGACAACCTTACCGTATAAATGAGACTTTGATCGTGGGGTGTTCAATTTTCTTTTAGCTTGAATTTTTCTTCCCCCTAAATTTTATATCCTCATTTTATACGTGTTACAATATTAATTCTAAGTCCAAATTAAAATCTCGTGACATAAAAACACAAAATAAATAAATTAACTAAGACACATACTAGTATGGTACGAAATATTGTCATGCATTTTCAACCCATTTTAGCTTAGCATAGATATGATATCAAAGAGTAGTGTGCTAGCTAAAATATATTATACACCAAAAATCGAATGTGTCAACCAAATTTGTTACCTCCCTTTCGACTTGGCATTGATGAATTCTCTCAATTTCTTGAAATCCTTCTCGAGGCCCTTATGTTGATACGGTGCGGTCACTTGTCCGGTGATGTAGTTGCCATAAGCTTCTCTTATGTTGTCTCCTTTCAACACTCCAGCTTCATGCCAAAAGATGCACTCATCTAGTGTTCGGCCATCGCTCATTTGCTCACTTCGGTGTCCGAACTCCGTTTGAAGCTCTTGCAATTTTTGTATCCTTGTAGTAATTGGCTTCGGCATTGGATGCATTGGTGCAATCGGCGTAGGTGGCAGCACACCATGAGAGGTTGAACTCGAGCTAGGACGAGTTTCTTTAAAATAGTCCATCATGCTCCCTCAGCTTTGACCTCTTGGTGATGACGTCCCTCGGCTTTGACCTCTTGGTGATGACGTCGGTCGAACAAGTTCAACTAGTGGTCCTCTTGAAGCTCTCGGCTGTGCAAAGGCATAAGCTTGTGGCACAAAATGACGTGCTAATCCTTCCCCCCTTTTCGGCAGCATCCACGAATCTTTGAAAGCTTTTGGTGGAAGAATCTTGCTTGTCACGAACTCCTTCAAGAAGATCCATGTTGATACGTGATTGTTGAAGTAATCCTTGCACTTGTTGTTCCAAAAGTTTGAGCCTTGAAGTAGTCTCGGACCCATGTTTTCCCATTTCATTGAACAACTTCATTACATCATTCTTCAACTCATTCTTTGCCGTGTCAATTTCGTTTTTCAATAGGCCTTGCCTATTGAACAATTATTGAGCACGGTCCACCATCTCCTTGTGATAACCATCAAGCTTGGTATCCATTGCATCCATTTTAGTGTTCAATTCACCCGTAGATTCTTTTACAATTGACTTAACATCCCCAACAATCTTTTCCCTTAAGGCTTGAGCATTGAACGTTTGTTCACTATGTACGGGTGGGGTTGGAATTGGCAAGGGGTGTGCAAAATCATCTTGTGGTGTGGTGATCATTGTGTCAACAAGGTTGGCTTCGGCTTCTTCGGTGTTGTAGCAAAGTAATAAGGTAGACCGATTTCTTGGATGATCTTGATCATAGAACTCATAAGAAGGTGGCAAAGTAGGCAAGTTCCTAGTTTCATCCAAGTTTAAAGAAATCCCTTGACTTGGTGCATTTCCTTCCTCATGAATGGACCCCGTAACCTCCGCTTCGAGATGTGGAAAATAAGACTCAAAACTCAAATTTTCATCCCCAACATTTGCAGGATACGGATCAATCTCCGGGAGCCCTATATCATCATTCCTCACCAAAGATCCCTCTCCGGGTCCTCTTCGGCTATCCTCCAAAGACAAAACGGTTGCCCGGCGAATATCATTTGGGTCAAATTCACCTATGGGCACTTCGGATGTGGCTTCAACCATAACACCTTTTTCGGTTCTCTTCTTTTTGGAAAGCTTAGTCAAAAAGTGAGAATTAATCACCGAAAGACGGGTAGCTCTAGCAAGGTCACGTGAGC